CTTCAGAACGGTTAAAGATCTCATATCATCACAACACGCCGCCCAATAAGAAGAAGAAGAAGATTATTCTATGTTATAATCATCAGATGTAATCTGATGACTAACCTGACTGAAGAGCAGCTCTGAGAAGGAAAATCTCTGGTTTGATGTGAACATCACGTCTCCTCCTCCTCTACTGACGCAGAGTAACTCACCATTACTACTTATATGTTATTATTATTGATGGGTTGAGGTAGTTTACTCAGGTTGTCAGCGCTGACCAATCAGTGATCAGTATAGATGAGAGGAAACGACGAGATGTTATAGGTGAATTATGCACAGATAAAGACCACTGTGAGGGTCGCGATGCGTTCAGGGACACTGAGCCAATCAGAGGGTTAAAAACTGTGAGCCAATCAGAGAGCAGGAGCCGCCTTACCCAGTCTGACCTTCATGTCTCCACTTGGACGTCGTCCATCCCTCCTTTGACCTGATTGGCTGAGATTATCACCACCTCAGGCTGGTGGATCTGAATGGCTACACACACACACACACACACACACAGACACACACACACACACACACACACACACACACATATACACACACACACACACACACACACACAGACACACACATACACACACACACAGACACACACACACATATACACACACACATACAGACACACACATACACACACATTTACACACACACATATACACACACACACACACACACACACAGACACACACATACACACACAGACACACACACACAGACACACACACACACACATACAGACACACAAATACACACACATATACACACACACACACAGACATATACACACACACACACACACACACAGACATACACACACACACACACACAGACACACACACACACACACACACACAGACACACACACACACACACCCCAAGAGACTATGAGGTAACATTTAGCCCCCACCGCTGAACTCGTCAGGACAGACAGGCGAGTAGAGGTCACATGAGCGACACGCTCAAGTGTTGCTCAAAGGTCCCTGGGCAGTCATCAACCCGAAGGCCAGCAGACCCCCACCTAGACCTGGTCTCTGCTGGTTTGGGGTTAAACAGCTGCCTCAAACACACATGGGGGGTCCAGTTGAGGGTTAATAACGTTGCTGTGTTCTCTGTCTTCATGAGACCTCGTTGTTGTTGTTGGTCACATGTCACATGTTGTTGTTCTTCATTATCGTCACCACGGTTATATAGTTGTTATTGATCCCACTCTGACGCGTCCCAGGATTCCTTGCAGCATCTGATAGAAACTGACCTGGTCCTCTTTGTGAGCATGAGGATGCAGTGAATCATGTGACCTCATCAGTCTCATGTGAGACTTCCTCCCAATGCTAGCGTTAGCTGCAGCGCTAACCCACCTCCTGCTGGGCCGCTGAGACGACATCAAGCAATTATCCAATCCCATAATTCATCTGTGCAGTTACAGAGCAGGAAGGTCACATGACCACAAACCAGCCTGTCTATTGGCCCGCATACGTGTGTAGAGGTGGTGTTGAAGTCCACCGACGGGTTCAAAGTCGTTGGTCATGAGAGACAAATGGTCCCTTAAGGAGCCTCTGAAGGCCTCTGCTGGACTGTTGGTCAACCAGAGCTCCCTGTGAAGGTCAAAGGTCAGGAGCTCTCTGTTTGTCTGATCAGTCTGAGAGATTTCACCTCCGACCCAGTCCAGAGTCCAGACAGCACTGTGTGTGTGTGTGTGTGTGTGTGTGTGTGTGTGTGTGTGTGTGTGTGTGTGAGTGTGTATGTCTCTGTCTGTTTTTATATGTGACTATTTTCGAGTGCTACAACGCAGAACCAGTTCATTGAATTACAAGTAGACCACCTCTGTTCGACTCTCTCGGGCAACACTTGCTGGTCAGATAGATCGCATCAGAAGCGCGGCACACGGAGCTTCTCGTGAGGACGCTGTGACGTAGCTGCAGTTCTTCACAGCTGTGAAGTCATCCACAGAGCAGGGAACTGATTGGCTGCGTCCATCAGGGGACATGCGTCAGCTGAGAGGGATGGAAGTTGGACAGTAAATACAGGATCCTGATTGGTCCGTCCTGGCGGGTTCCTTCTCTCTCAGATCAGAGCCTCGTGACTACGGACCTCTGATGACCTCAATGAGGACGTGCTCCACTGGTCTTTAAGCTTCCTAAGTTCTCCTCCGCTCTCTTCACTGGTACCGGTGGCTCATCCAGTTCTAAACATGGTGCTCACGTACCATGCTGTGAATGGATGGGGTCCAGCTCACATCCAGGACCTGGTCCAACCCGACACCCCGACCCGCACTCTCCGCTCTGCATGTGATAAACTGCTTGTTCCTCCTCACTGAGAGCAAAACACTCGACTAGATCTCCACTCTTTGCTGTCCTGCTCCTAAATGGTGGAAGGAGGTCTCTGAAGACATCAGGACCACAGAGAGCCTTCACATCTTCAGACTAAAGACACACCTCTTCAGACTCTACCTCCACTAACACACTAACTGTAGCACTTACATTGGACTTATAATGGTTCTTATCTACAGCAAGTTGTACATCGGCTTATTTAATGAAATCACACTTTCTTGTTTCTTGTTCTTCTGAGTTTGTGTCCTTATGGTTGAAATGTTCTTATTGTAAGTCGCTTTGGATAAAAGCGTCAGATAAATGACATGTGATGTGATGTGATGTGATGTGATGCTGGCATTAAATAAGGTAATAAATGAGACGAAGCAGAGGGAATAGAACCACACAAGCAGATTGTGTCCCTTCAAGATAAAACATGAGCTGATTGGACTCAATGACGTCGACATTAGAGGATATTAACTTAATAAAAAGCAAATGCGCACAATTAAATGTTGTGACTCGTGAGGTCGGGATCAAAGTCTGACACACGTATAACAGCGTTTATTGAATTACAGAATATCTAGAAAAGTGTTTTTACAAAAGCACATAACAGGGAGTTTAAATGTAAATGAGAACACTGGTGAGCAGATCAGCATGTATGATATGATGTATGATTTAATAATAATACCTTTATGTCTGACCTGTGACAGCAGTGAGAGCAGATGTACGTCCACACTGAAGTACAGCATCACCTCCAGTGGTTTCCCACCATTCAAAGGGACAAACATGTCCCTGTTCCTCCTCCATCACGAAGCGAGAGTCCAACTGATCATAAACTGCAAATGAAAGGCTGAGCAATAAAAACGCAATTCAAACTATTGTAAAGATGTTTGGAATGCAGCGCGCGCTGTTTCTTTGCAAACCCTAACGACTTTTTTTTCATATCTGCTTATGACAAAACAAAATGTTGTTATATGACAAAGCAAATGCCGTCAAATTACTCCCAAATTACCAGTTAATTCCCGTGGAAAGTGTCCAACTCTGAATATTCGTAGGTCTTGGTGGACATGTCTTACACAGACGTATTGGTGGACATGAAGTGTCTCCAGATCCTCTCAGAGAGGACATTCCCATTTGAGCTAGGGTCCATCTCGTTTATGAGCTGTGAAATGTGGAATAAATCAGCAGCGGTGCCAAGTGACGTGATCACGTCCTCCAGGAATCAGGAGAGAAGATCTCACTTCTGCTCCCATAATTCCTCCTGACAAGCAACGCCCTAACCTGTCAATCACTCGCTCTCTGAGTACTTACAGATATGTGGAGGTCCTGCAGCGTCTACGATCGGAGGCATCTTCACCTTTGGCCTCCTCCTGCTCACGTCTCAGCAGGTGGGACAGGTGAGACGGGTGAGACGGCACGGAGCCAGGCGACGAGCAGGACCTGCCGGCTGTAGTTGATCTCAGGCAGGATACTGGTCCCGGTTCCAGTCTGAGTTTGTGGAGGAAGACGTCTTGTCCCAATGGACACTGAGCGTATTGATCGTATTGATCGATTGAGGACATTAGATGTTCTATCTCTCTGGCTCCGGGTCATCTGGAGCTGCAGCGTGTACAGCTGGAAGTTATAATCCTGTGTGAACGCACACACACACACACACACACACACACACACACACACACACACACACACACACACACACACAGCTGGATGTTGATGGGCAGGGTTAGCCCCACATAATTGTTGTCATGGCAACGGAAGGTCTTCTGGTAGAAGGCAAGAAAAATGCAGCCAAGACGGAGAGAACACACTTGGGGGGGTCAAAGGTCAAATGATCCTCATTGTGAACAACAGACAAGCTCTGCTTTTACACAGAGAGGAAGAGGAGGAGGAGGAGGAAGAACTCAGGTATCACTCCAACATTCATTTCTGTTGAAAGATTTAATGATTCGAGTATCACGGATTAATGGAGTTCCTCATCCGTTTCAATGAGCGCTGCGTGGTCCCGTACGTGGTATTATGATGCGATGGTAGTACTGAGAGCGAGGAGAGCAGTGTGTACGACTTCTTCAATTCAATTCAATTCAATTCATGTTATTTTGTGGAGCCCAAAATCGCAAATGACAAATTAGCCTCAGGCTTTACAGTCTGAACACACACGACATCCTCGGCCCCGAAACCCACCGGCACAGGAAACATGAAGAAACCTTCCATGAGGGAAACAAGGGAAGAAACCTCAGTGAGAAGGTCAGAGGAGGATCCGTCTCCTGGTGGACAGACTACAATGACGTCATGTGTACAGAATGAACAATGTATAATACATGAGACTATATGACAGAATGATTCAAGTAACTGTGAGTAGTCTAGTAGTATCTGGAGGAAGAGAGCAAAGCATTGTGGGAAGAGACACGCCTGCTTACACTAAAGCACAGAACCATAAACACACAGTAGTTGCACCTGTAATGAAGCTTCTGGTTCTGATGACCATGAAGGAGCAGAAGTAGGTGCTAATGGTACCTGACGACGGTTCCATTGGCGCCACATTTAGGAAGGTTTGTAAAGATACTGGAGATTCATTTGAATCGGTTTTTAATAAAGTTCATATTAAACCCGTTAAAGACTCAACATGGGGAAATAAAGACAAACGCTGGCTTAAAATGTACTGAATTTTAATTTACAATGCACATTACCCAGATTCCTGTGATATAAAAAAGCTGAGCGACAAACAAATGCTGCCCAGCAACATTCAGACGGACGAAACATCATGCAGAGTCTGTCGGGGACATGCTGGTGGACAAGTAGAAAACACACAACCGACTACAACGTTCCACCAACACACATGCTGCTGGAGGAGTAGAAAACACGCTAGAAAAACGGTCATACAACAGTCATGCTACCGTTGTACTAGTACAACGCGTTGTTGTACCAGTACAACGGTAGCAGGTCAGTACGTTTATACGCTAGTACAAAGTTCATACCAACGTTGTACTATCATACGGTAGAACAACGTTCATACAGAACCACGTGCTCCATGCGTTTGTCCTCCAACAGGAAGTTGTTATTAAATGAAGGACAACAACCCAGTGGATCCAAAGAACCTCTTAGAACTTGGTGCAGCTCTGGAGCAGCAGGACTCAGACAGACATCATACAGGGACATCACATGGTTGTAAGCCCCGCCCCTCTGTGGTGTGCAGCACATTTGATGTTATCAAAATGTCCTCTCGAATGACTGAAAGGCGAAGAACCCGAAACCATCAAAATCAGTTGGACTTTAAGGTCACATTTAATGAAGAAGATCCATCACCAGATATCTGCACTGGGTCTCAGGGTCTCTTTGGGGGCTCTAAACTGGAGGTGGACTTCTGGATTGATCAGTATGGATGCGTTTTCAGGTTGATTCTTTAAGAAGTCCAGACATCCCACTAGTGAAGGACTTCTGTATAAATACGGACTGATAACAGCTTTGAAGACCAGACACTAGTACAACAGATAACACAACTGTAAAAAAAGAAGACCCATTGTCTTCCATCTGGACTAGAGTGAAACGGGGCTCAGAGGAGGAGAGTTCTGGTTCCTGCAGACGTCCCGGATTTATCACGTCCCTGCGATCGATCAATCGACCGATCCATGGATCAACATGTTCTGTTGGATCAGAGTTCATTGGACTCTCACTCCACATTAGACTGAAATCAATAAATTAGAATAAAAGATCTGTAGATACGTCAGAACCCCAGGCTAAGCATTTTTTTTGCAAATGATCCAGGAAGATTGTATTAAATGCGAGTAACTCAAAGTGATGAAGAAGAACGCGAGCAAGACTTGACAGAAAAAGCAGCGGCGGGTCAAAACATCCCTATTGGCTCCGCCCCCCTCACTGCCCCCCGTTGGCGGCGTTGGGGGCGGGGCTGGGGGCGGCGGGCGGCTGCACGTTGTCGGCCAAGTTGTGGGCGTGCTCCAGGAAGAGGTCTTTGAGCACGCTCAGCTCTTTGCTCAGCAGTTTGATTTTGGCCTCCAGGCGCTCGTTCTCCTCCTTGAGCTCGTTGACGCGCTGCTGCGTGTCCATCGCCTTCTGCTTGCTGCGCATGCGGCTCTTCTTCACCGCCAGGTTGTTGCGCTCGCGGCGCTGGCGGTACTCGTCGCTGTCCTTCTCTGCCGAAGGTTTCTTCATCTTGCTGGGGGGCGGGGCCTTACCGCCGCCAGCTGAGGGGAGGAGCTTGGGGACCCGCTGCAAGCAGGAGGCCGAGGAGGAGGCCTGATTCTGGATGACGCTCGCACCGCTGTGCTCGTGTGTGGTGAGATTCGCCTGAGACGGCCGGCTCATCAGGATGTGCTGCCTTCAGGTGCGGATGTCTGAGTCTCCTCAGAGGATGAACCAGGAAGCAGAAGATCCTTCAACTCGATGGAGCCTGGAGGACAACCAATCAATCATTAGTGACCTCCAGATAAATCGATTACATGTTCCATTCCGTTATCATCTACCAACAGTTCTGTTATTCACCAGGAAATAAGACTTCTCTTTACAGTAAAGCAAAACATGTTCCTGTACATCTGCATTTAGCCTGCAGTCATCGCTGACCTGGTTCCATCGATGAAGGTTTAACCCCCCCCACCCACTGAACATCCTGACGTGACGTCATGTAGAGTGACGTAGTGGACGTCTGGTCGTTGTTGAGCAATATCAGCTTCAACGTGTGGTCGTAATAGAGATCGAACAGCTCCCACGTGATCAGAGCAGCGGAGGATCATTACTGGCTCAATTAGCTACGCCGCTGTGATTGGTCGACGCGTTGCTATGCAGCCGGTCGGCTGGGTGCGCAGGGGAAAGCACTCCGGGTGGAAACCAGCAGAGCTCCAGCGATTGCCTGCTGTTGCATCATCATCGGCTGTTTTTGTGCCGACGGAGAGGGGAACTCCTGTCACGCGAGGGCTAAGAAGAATGCTAAAATAGTGTCGGACTAACTCATTAATACCAGAGACCGCTCGGTGACCCGGATGAGCCACATCACGCTCAGTCAATTCAGTATTTCACAGCACTTTTTCTAACTTTGAGTAGACCGGAAGCAGCCAACAGATGATTTACTGTCCTCTTACTCAGCGTGAAGTTCCAACACGTCAAACACTGACAATTTCATGAGTCGAATCTCCTTTCCAACCTACACAAAACTACATTTTCACTTTTCTCGCTTGTGCCCGCTCACTAGGCGTTGAGCCGACCAGCTAACGTTAGCTAGCTCCCGATGCTACCGAGCCGCTAAAGCTAACCGTAAGCTAATCTTCGCTCCCACAAACGAGTAAAAACACCGCTTACCTTCGCGGGGCGGCGGCGGACTCGACCATCCGTCAAAGCGGAGAAAGTTGCCGTAGAAAACGGGAGTTTAATCCGTCGGAGTTTGAGCTCTCACTGTTTTTGTTTGGAACATGGAGGAGACGATTGCGAAATCTTCTTTACCATGTACGGTAATGTGCCGGCTGAGCCAATCAGAAGCCGGCAGGCGGCAGCCAAAGGGACAGTTGACCAATCAAGGAGCGAGAAGGGAGAGAATGATGCAATTCATCCTAAAATTGACTCCTGGTTCCACCAATGGGAGTGCTGTGTTTTCTGTTGATATGTTTATGTAATATGAGGTTTGTTTAATTAGTTCATAGATGCATGAATTCACATCAAATTGAATCACTTAAACTGCGAATTATACACAACGTACTACTACTATTTGTGAAGTTATAACAACACTTTAATATAATGGAAATACTTTGTATTAAAGAGAAAACCGGGTATGAAGATGTAACAGGTGAAGAAGAGGAAGTCATCAACTTGAAGGACCAATACAAATCACAAATATACTTAAATTCACAAAAATTATATTATTTCTCTGTAGAGATTACAACATTAAAGCGACAGAACGTTGGATTCATGCTGAACAACAGCAGGAGACAAGGTCTCACTCGGAACGCTGTGGTCATCACGTCTGGACTACTGCACCTCCCTCGTAGCAGGTCGACCTGCCAGCGCCATCCGACCTCGGCAGCTCGACTGGTCACAACTCCAATTCCTTCACTGGTTTCCTCAGAAAGCTAAACACTCAACAACATGCCGCCGGTTTGATGTCCAGATGAGCCCAACTACATGAGGACAGCAGAAAGCCTCTACAGCTAAAACACACCTCTACCCACTGTACCTGGACTAGGTAGCACTTTATTAACCCTCATTAGTTACCGTTTACGGACGACAAATGAGATGTTTGACTTTTGGATTTGATAGAAGCAGGCGACATATCTTCCTTTGAGAATAACATTAGGTACAAACAAATTGACAGCAGTAACACTAGTAAAAATAAATCATTTTAATTATGAGGCCACTAATGAGCATCAATCTGTACAGCGGAACCTTTGCAGCAGCGTAGACTTTGAAAGGAGTCCAACACCAATCAGGATTACAAGGAGCCCAGATGTGACCTGAGGAACTAAGAAATGAGATCATTTAACAACGGAAACAACAACCCTCCGGCCGGCCTGAACTACGGTCGGTTCCTCCGGACGGCTCGAGAGGAACGAAGGCCCCAAGAAGGCCCAGCAGAGGCTGTACTTGCTGAGAAGGCCGAGGAAATTTGGAATGCAAACCAAAATTCTCAGCAACTTCCACAGAGGTGCGGTGGAGAGCGGAATCACCACATCGATGACCGTGTGGTCCGGACCCTGCACGCAGGACAGGAAGGCCCCCCAGCGTGTGATAAACAGGACAGCTCAGGAGCAGCCGTCCCCTCACTACAGGACATTTACTCCACCAGGGTCACCAGCACAGACTCTTCTCCTGCCATCAGGCAGGCGTCTCAAGTCCAGAACTAACTAACTAACACACACACACAGAAATAAAGTGCATAGTGCACATGTCTAATGTCACGATCGGGGTGTAGGCAGAGGCAGGACCCAAACGTCACAACAAAAAATCAAAATCAAAAATGCCACGTGGGCAAAAACACGGCGGGGACCAGGAACGCACAAGACATTGAGGGAACGACACGAAGCCATCACCTGCAAACATTCAACCACGCGACAACAGACACACAGGGCCTAAACACACTGGGACGGGGCAGGTGATTGGACACAGGTGGAAACAATCAGAGACACGGCAGACAATCACAGGGGACGACAGGACAAGGCAGGAAGTGACGTTACCCAGGGAGACAAGGGGCAGGAAACTACAAAATAAAACAGGAAACAAATCAACACCGTGACATCTAATGCATATATTTTGCTTGTTAGGAATCAGGAAACATTTATGACAGTAGGACAATGGACAACAAAACAACATAGTGCAAGAGGAATCAAATAGAATATAATAAAATATGAGGCTATGGGTTAGTTTAAAAATAAAGGAATACAAGTTTTTTAAAAATTGAGTTAAAGTTGAGGTAAAGTGCACCAGCAAACAGAAAGTGACAAGTGAAAGTGACGTGTGCAGAGTGAGGAAAGTGAGCGGTGGGATGTCAGAGTCAGTCAGCGGGGGTCCGGCTCTGTTGAGGAGGTCTTAGTCCTGATGGACCTCAGCCTCCTGCCAGATGGAAGGGGCACAAACAGGTTTTGTCGGGGCGAGAGGGGTCGGCCACCATCTTTTTAGCTCGCTTCAGAGACCTGGAAGCGAACAAGTCCTGCAGGGACGGCAGATTGCAGCCGATCACCCTCTCTGCAGAGCGGAGGACACGCTGCAGCCTGCCCTTGTCCTTGGCTGTGGCTGCAGCGTACCAGACGGTGATGGAGGAGCAGAGGATGGACTCCATGATGGCCGTGTAGAAGTGCACCATCATCGTCTTTGGCAGGTTGAATTTCTTCAGCTGCCTCAGGAAGAACAACCTCGGCTGAGCCTTCTTGGTGATGGAGCTGATGTTCAGCTCCCACTTGAGGTCCTGGGTGATGATGGAGCCCAGGAAACGGAAGGAATCCACAATAGTGACGGGGGAGTCACACAGGGTGATGGGGGAGGGTGGGGCTCTGTTCTTCCTGAAATCCACAACCATCTCCACTGTCTTTAGAGCGTTGAGCTCCAGGTTGTTCTGGCTGCACCACGATACCAGATGGTCAGACTCCACCTGTAGGCGGACTCGTCCCCACCAGAGATCAGTCCAGTCTGGGTGGTGTCAGGAGCTTGATGGACTGGTGACTGGAGGTGCAGCTGTTGGTGCACAGGGAGAAGAGCAGAGGGGAAAGAACGCAGCCTTGGGGGGAACCGGTGCTGATGGATTATAGAAATATACGTCTTCAAATGAAGAGATGCCAGTGAAGACATTGGAGTTGTCCTCGAGCGCCAGGCTGTGTTGCTTTATCTGCTGCCATGTTGTTCGGCCTTATATACGCGTTGAACCTGAACTGCCCTGGTGAACTCAAGGACACCTTCGAAGTGCCTCAAAAGGTGGTCATGGAGCTTGTCTCTAAGAAGACCCAAGTCCTTAAAAACAAACTTCATGTTTAAGTCATAATCATTTAGAGAAACTTGTTGAAAATTCATCTTCAGTATTTGTTCAGAAAAATTACTATCGAGCTTGTAAGACTATACATCTTCTATCTACCTCTTCCAGTTGTTTTGGGTGGGAGGATTTTTTTCTGTTCTTTTTTAATGGAACTTCCCCCCTTTTGTTTGGGGGTGATCATTGGAAAATAAAATGGTCCATATTATATTTATGTAAATCCAACAGACTTTTTCTTTCATTGAGTTCTTGTGAGGCAGACAAGCTGCTCGTTGTGTTTGTTAGAAATATCACTTTCGTTTCAAACAGACAGTCTGCCGGTTACCAGTCGACATAGTGCGCTCCGGTTCCTCCGGACCCTCACAGACGTGACGGGAATTCTTTCGCCCCGCTTCCCCGCACGGTCCCCCCGCACGGAGCCCCGGTCCCCCCTCACGGAGCCCCCCCCCCCTCACGCAGCCCCGGTCCCCCCGCACGGAGCCCCGGTCCCCCCTCACGGAGCCCCCCCCCCTCACGCAGCCCCGGTCCCCCCGCACGGAGCCCCGGTCCCCCCTCACGGAGCCCCCCCCCGCACGCAGCCCCGGTCCCCCCTCACGGAGCCCCGGTCCCCCCGCACGGAGCCCCCCCCCGCACGCAGCCCCGGTCCCCCCTCAGGGACCCCGCCCTCTTGAGGGAGGCGGGATCTTTCTGAGGGAGGCCCCCCTCATCAGGAGCACGCGGTCCCTCCGCAAGCAGGCCCCGGTCCCACTTGAGAGAGGCGCGTGTCCCCCCGCGGGCGGGCCCCCCCCCCTTGAAGCAGCCCGGGTCCCCCCGCACGCAGCCCCGGTCCCCCCCGCACGCAGCCCCCCCTGCACAGATCCAGCTCAATTCACAGAGAAACGCAGGAGGGTTTCATGAATGTTTCAGCCATAAATATTCAGAACCATGTTTAGTTGACATGAATCATCAATCAGTGTTGGAGCAGAAGATTCATAACTTCTAACTCATAAACGTAATAACCCGTTAAAAGAGATTCCGAATATTCATCACTTTTATTTCAAACGGGGCCGGGTTATGGATCCAGAACCCAAAACCTCCCTCTGGGTCTCTGTGGGACTTTAGTTTATTTTTGTTCGAGTGTTTCTGTGTGTGTGTGTGTGTGTGTGTGTGTGTGTGTGTGTGTGTGTGTGTGTGTGTGTGTGTGTGTGTGAGCGTGTGAGGTGTGTGAGCGTGTGTGTGTGTGTGTGTGTGTGTGTGTGTGTGTGTGTGTGTGAGCGTGTGTGTGTGTGTGTGTGTGTGTGTGTGTGTGTGTGTGTGTGTGTGTCCGCCCCTCCCGCTCTCTATATAAAGCCGCTCTGACAGCCCTCCGTCCGCAGCAGCAGGACCCCGCAGGAAGCCGCTCCTCTCGGACCCGGATCACTTGTAAAAGTCGTTTCTTTTCTCGCCGGACTTCGGAGCCTCCTCGCGCGCAATTTGACTTTGCCCAGCGCCGGTTCCACGGAGCGCGTCTCCATGCACGCCCGGCTCTAGATTCTCCATGGAGCTCTCGAACCTGTACGAGGTGGCGCCCCGGCCCCCCATGACCGGTATTGCAGCACGGCTACAGGGACCCGTCCGACCCGGGCGGGGACATTGGGGACAGCGAGACCTCCATCGACCTGAGCGCCTACATCGACCCGTCGGCCTTCAACGACGACTTCCTGGCCGACCTGTTCCACCACAGCTCCCGGCAGGACAAGCTGAGGACCATGGGTGGGGAGTACGAGTCGGGTCCGTGCGGGCCCCCGCAGCCCTACATGCCCCACTACATGGAGTCCAAACTGGAGCCGCTCTACGAGCACAACCCGCCGCGCATCCGGCCCGTGGCCATCAAGCAGGAGCCGCGCGACGACGAGGACGTGAACGCGGCGCTGCCCCCCACTTACCACCACCCGCACGCGCATTCCCAGCAGCCCCTCCAGTACCAGATCGCGCACTGCGCCCAGACCACCATGCACCTTCAGCCGGGACACCCGACCCCCCCGCCGACGCCAGTGCCCAGTCCGCACCACCAGCACCCGCAGCACCACCCGCAGCACCTCCCGCAGCACCTCCCGCAGCAGGGCGGCCTGAAGCTGCTGGAGCAGCACCGGGGGGGGTGCGGGAAGTCCAAGAAGAACGTGGACAAGGGCAGCCCGGAGTACCGGCTGAGGCGCGAGCGCAACAACGTGGCCGTGCGCAAGAGCCGGGACAAGGCTAAGATGCGCAACATGGAGACGCAACACAAGGTGGTGGAGCTGAGCTCCGACAACGACAGACTGAGGCGGAGGGTGGAGCACCTGACCCGCGAGCTGGACACGTTACGGGGAATCTTCCGACAGCTGCCGGACGGTTCCTTCAAAGCCAGCTGAGGGACTACTGCGCGACCCCGGGACCGGGACCTGGGCCTGAACCGGTGCACTGCTGGATTTACACTCGGATGTGTCCTCGTGCGTGAGAGGAGACCGAGGCAGCTGGTGGTCGTTGCACGAGACAAACACGAGAAACTCACCAAGTCCCCAAAATACCCGAAAAGAATTTCTGAACAAAGAGACAAAAAACACATTTCGAGTTTTTATGTCAGAAACTTTGCGGTCCCGGGGACAAACGGAGCGGAGACATCTTCGTCTCATTGGCTGATCCAGATCTCTTGTCCTCAGACTGATGGGCACGAGACCTGTTGTGCTGGCTGTCCCTCCGTCTTTCTCTCTATCTGTCCTTCTCCTTGTCTCTCCATGTCTCCTTAAAAGCCAATAAGCTCGTCCCTGCAGCTCCTCAGAGGAGCGCTTGTTTTTTTACCCTGTCCTCTTACAAACTGTGTCTCTATCTAAAGGTTGTTTCCGTCACATGGTATGGGGATCACGTGGGGCGTCACTTAAAATGGTCCATATGTGTCAGAAACAGTGATGATGATGATGGTTCTTCATCTCAGAAACAAGGTGCCCTTTCCCCTTTGTTCCCTTAGAACAAAGACACATGGACACGAAATATTGATTTATAAAAACCAAAGTGACAAAACAAACCCATCAAAGCTGGAAAAGTTGCAGTCGTGTCCTCTTGACAACCAGCCTTAATCTCCAGACCTTCATCTCAAACCTTCATGTCCAGACCTTCATCTCAAACCTTCATGTCCAGACCTTCATCTCAAACCTTCATGTCCAGACATCCATCCATGTTCCTTTAAAAGAATGGAAGTGGTCATGTTTGGCTTTCAGAGGATGGAGACGGAGAATAAGCTCATGCGAACAGTGAGTTTGGACATAAGACAGGAAAACGTCCTAAATCTTTTGTAAACAACATCAATGTGAAAAGGTTTCTATGCAAAATGTCTCTGCTACACACACACACACACACACACACACACAGTGCCTTCTGATCTGAGATGACCTTTGACCTTAAGGAGGCACTGCTTTTTTATACAAACAGATATTAAAACCATGTTATCATCTCAATCGTACATCTCTGTATACATAAATATATGGATATGTATATAAAATACCAAACAACTTACTATAATAAAAGAGCTTGTTTTATTGCATTTTGCTGCTTGGTTTTTCATTTGAAGTGTGAATTGTTTAGGTTTCGTTTGTGTGTGTGTGCGTTCAGCCAGTAGGAGGCGCTCACACAAACACGTCTTCTCATTATTAATGCTTTTATCCATAAACAGATTTTATTTACTCATTCAAAAGTGAAAAATGAACAGATTAAAGTTACATTTCTCTCTTTTATATTTGCTAGCATATATTTATATCCATATATAGTTAGTATTTAATAATATGTGAATGTACAGTAGAATAAAATACACGATGTAACATGTATAATATACTATACATATATAGACAGATATGACATGTAAACCATTTATATTTATCAAAATAAAATATTCAAATTAAAAAGTTTTGGGTCAAATCAACTCTTATTTTCTGACAAGACTCAACAAATCAATACAGACAGAAAATCGAAGTTCAGGACTTCTTAGTGTCTGTGGCCTCATGTGTCTCTCTGTGTGTCGCTTGTGTCTCTCTTAGTGTGTCTCTTGTTGTGAAGCATGAGGCTCCTCGTTTCTCCTGTTGTTTTTTGTGGAAGACACACAGGTCTTTCATTAGTTTCTTGGACGACCTGTTGTATGTGTGTCTTGGCTGTAGACTTGTTCTGGATGGAAGACATTATCCTCCTGTTTTATGTCCTCGTTGTGTCCAGAGGTCTGTTTCTGAGCCCAGAACAATCTGGACTGACTCCAACGTTAAAGATCTTCTCACACAATCTAAGGTTCACACGCTAAAGGCTTCCTCCTGCGCAGAGCGACGTCACGTGATGTATCTTGTTGTTGTTCTTGTTGTTGCATGTCTCATGTCTCATGTGTCCCACGTAAAACAGTACTGTATTCTGAAGTCAACAGAACCTCTGAACCCTCATACGTTGAGTGGTCTATTGATTGGTTAATTAAAGGGTGGATTGGTTGATATGTTTGTTGATTGACTAGTTTGATGGTTGATTGTTTGGGCCGTGGATTGATAGGTTGGTGGTTGAGTGGTTGATAGGGTGATAGTTTAGTTGGTTGAATGGTTAATTGGCTCATAGGTCGGTTGGTTTGTTATGTAGATTGTCGTTGGTTGGTTAGTTGATTGGTTGTTATGTTGATAGTTTGGTTGAATGGTTTATTCGTTGGTTGATAGATTTGTTGGTTGCCAGGTGGGTAGATATGTTGGTTGCTTAGTTGATTGGTTAAGGTTTATTGGTTGGTTGGTTGATATATTGGTTGGTTGCCAGGTGGGTAGGTATTTTGGTTGCTTAGTTGATTGCGCTATGATAGATTAATTGGTTGCCAGGTGGGTAGGTATGTTGGTTGCTTAGTTAATTGGTAGTTTGGTTGATAGATTAATTGGTTGCCAGGTGGGTAGGTATGTTGGTTGCTTAGTTGATTGGTGGATTGGTTGATAGATTAATTGGTTGATTGTATAATAGGTTAATTGGATTAACAGAAACCAGAACACAAATGTTCCCCCTATGACTATGTCTGTTTATGGAGAATGTAAAGTAACGCAAATGCAGATCCTTAGTTGTATATGAAGCAGCTGGAGTTTCTGTTAACCTGCAAAATCCTCAATTAATCCAGATAACATGCAAGGTTGTAACCATAGAAGATCCTAGATAGCAAGGTGAGATATTTGTCAGAGAGGACGAGGATATTCTAGTGTGATTCATACAGTTTGAGACTCTTCATCAATCAATCGGCCGGATGAAGAATCCTGATGGCGAGTATGTGAACATAATGTCTACTGCTGTAAACCTGCTCCATTATTCCTCCCGAAGCAGTCGAACGTGTCCGGTGTGCAGAGTCAAAGTGCTTCGCTTCATTGACGTGTTGAGTGGGGAGTGTGTCAATCTTCTCTGTTTGTCCCTCGTTTAAACATTAACCGGCTCTTTTCACCGACTCGGAACACACAGAGCTGACTGAGCAGCACTTTACTCTGAAAGGCGGCCACAGCTTTTACTGTTTGCTCTCCGATAGAATAGAGTCACTCTTAAATGTCACATGGACGGACGCAGGGGTTATAATAATTATTAGCATTATTAGCATCGTGTCTGGTTTTGTAAAAGCAGGATGCGTCTCCGCCTCTTGGTCGGCCATCTTACATGTGACGTTAGCATGTAGCGTGACAAAGCTGCTAACATGTCTGCAGACTCTGAACATGAGCACCATCCTTTACCTTTGCAGTACCCTGGCTGGGAGAAGAACTTGCCATGTGACTCCTCAGGGACTTCTTCAGGCTGTGTTCCTGTACCGCCTCCTCCCGACTAAACTCCTAGATTCTGGTTATCTCACAGAAGAGGAATGAAACAATTCCTTCGAACATGTTTTCAAGAAACACAGCTGTAAACAAGAGGAAATCCCAACTACCATATCTATGTACTAATAAATAATACTTTTTTATTAACACCCGTTTTCTCACAGGGCCAGCATATAGTAATACTCAACATGTGAATTGTCAGATCTTAGACCTCTGATCCCACAGTTCTCAATCGCTATAAATTCACTTTGTTTCAGCCCCTTTCTCTTTAAGACCCCCCCAGCCAGCGTTTTCTGCTCTTCCGCATCATTCTTATCCATAAAAATCATGACAATCGAAGTGTGATGTTGATACAAACCACTTGGACCTGCGTCCTGTTTACAGCTGCTTGGATTCTCTGAATGAGGTTCTATGGAATTGATCTCCACATCTGCATCTTCTCCCTCAAAGAGGAATGTGAAATATTTCAAAACACTTGTCTCGCCTTTATGCTTCATGCAATAACCAACGTGTCCTGTGACTCCTGGTGTTCCCGCTAGACTCCAGCAACACGTCTCGGTTTCTGCTCCTTACTGATTACAGTATTTTCAATAAAACGCTTCTACGTCGGCCATATTGAGAACCGTTGGTCAAAGAAATGCTCCCAGTCGGTTTCAGCTTCAGTCTTTTTTTGAAATATAAATGTATTGATAAAATGGATGCGTTCTGCGGCTGCGTGGGTGAATAAAGGTTCAGTATTTGAATCACGTTAATCACCTCCTGGCTGCAGGGATCATTTGTTCTGCTGCAGAGAGACCAGAACAGCTGGACTCTGATAGCATCTTTGTGTTACTCTGAACGCCTCGCGATGCTTTCAGGGTCAGGCGGCGTGTTCTGTTCCTGCCAGGTTTCCGTTCTGTTCACTGGTTCTCAGTTTCTGCCGATAACTATCTGGAGTCGACTCTGAGACGCCAAAGTCCTGATGTCTGAATTAAAAATGAGCTCATTCACATGTAGGTGTACAGCCGTTTGTTTGTGAGCTTTGTATCACTCTGAAAGAAAACACTTGGATGTGTTTTAATGGAGATCTACGGAGAAATATTCTCTGCAGGTTAAAGTCAAGTAAAAAACACCTTTATTTCAATAAAAATCCCCAAGTTTCCCCGACCTGCACCCTCAAAATAAAAGCCTCCTGGAGTCACTGTATCTTCTCAGGAGACTCAGGACCACGTTGCTTTGTGTTCTCGGTGTCCTTCTAGCCCGACACATCTTACGAAGACTCAACATTAAACTGTTGGTTGAAAAGGTCCCGACGTGCTGACATCACACACGGCCTCACTAACACACCTCAGGGCTTCTTTGCTCAACCGGAAGTCATTTGACCGGCAACATTTCTCCAGAAAATGAGGAAGCCTGACTTTGACTCCATCTCCTCCCAGCATGCAATGGGGCTGACCGCTCACTGCGGTAGAGGCGTCGTGAGTAAGCAGTTCACTCAAAGAAGAAGATTCGCTTCCGTAACGTAAATACGTAAAGAACATTTTATCTTCTGTGATGATCTTTTGGAATCAGAATTCCAACTAATTACTTTCTGCATTGTGTCTGTCCCTCTGTCTGTCTGTCCCTCTGTCTGTCCCTCTGTCTGTCTGTCCCTCTGTCCCTCTGTCTGTCCCTCTGTCGTAGCCCTAACTATGTATGAACCTTCTCCTGTCCATCCCGGGACACGGATGCTCCTCTGACGGTTTCTTGGAGTGTTTCCTGTGCTGATGGCGGGTTTCAGGACAGACGATGTCGTATTACAGACTGTAAAGGCCTCTGAGGCAAAGGGTTGGATTAAACAATTTGTAATTTGCGATTTTGGGCTGTACAAAATAAAATGAATTGAATTGAATCACGTAACTGATTTATAGTAGAATTACTTCGGTTGGTTTGAGTTTCATGTTTAGAAGCTTCAGGTCAAGTTTAGACAGCTGGTTTCATCCGGCTCTATAAATATAATCGAATATCTTCTACATAACAATGAATGTTTATGTATTGATAAACTTTAAATGAACAGTCAACACACAATATTAACGAGACACACAGTTCAAGTTTTTAGGTGAAATTGAGCAGTTGATTCCTGGTCACAGGGTTTATATTCATGACTTACAGTTTATGTGGTATGTCGTCTAAAGACTAAGCAGGTACTGTCCTCTCTGAGCCTCATGCTCATCCTCATCCACATCCTCATCCACATCCACATCCACATCTTCATCCTCATCCACATCCTCATCCACATCCACATCTTCATCCTCATCCACATCCTCATCCACATCCACATCCACATCTTCATCCTCATCCACATCCTCATCCACATCCACATCCTCATCCACATCTTCATCCTCATCCACATCCTCATCCACATCCACATCTTCATCCTCATCCACATCCTCATCCACATCCACATCTTCATCCTCATCCACATCCTCATCCACATCCTCATCCACATCTTCATCCTCATCCACATCCTCATCCACATCCACATCCACATCTTCATCCTCATCCGCATCCTCATCCACATCCTCATCCACATCTTCATCCTCATCCACATTCTCATCCACATCCACATCCACATCTTCATCCTCATCCACATCCTCATCCACATCCTCATCCACATCCTCATCCTCATCCACATCCACATCCACATCCACATCTTCATCCTCATCCACATCCACATCCACATCTTCATCCTCATCCACATCCTCATCCACATCCTCATCCTCATCCA